TGCTAACACCAGCTTGGATTTCTTTTAGATTAACCTCGTTTCTAGTGTCTTTTAGAATTTTAGAAGTTTCTTGATTTGTTTTGGGCTTAACTAGAATTTCATATGTTTGTTTCGGTTTTATAACTTTTGGTGCACTTATATCTCGTTTAGTTATATCAGCATATGAAGTAGGAAAAGTATTGATTTTACTTAAACTATCAATTTGCAAGTTAATGTTTTTTTCAATTAAAACATCATTTTTGTCTTTTATTTCTTTGTTGAGTTTATTAATTAGGTTATATTGACATTGTAGACTTTCAGTTTTTACCATGTTTAATTCACAATTATCACAGAATTTTTCATTATCACATTTTGGTTCACTCTTAGTTATTTGTATACAATTTTTACAAGTGGCATTTTTTCCAGTTACTAGATTTTTTTTCAACAAGTTGTTTTTCTAAGTCAATGATATGTGTCTTGTAAGCGTTAACATTCTCTGTTAAGTTTTCGATAGATTGTTCAGATTTCTCACATTGTTCACAAAAGTTTTCATTACGAGCTGGATCTTGACTATGCAGTTTATTTTTGTAAGCATCAATCTGTTGTAAGTATACTTTCTTTTCATCCAGAAGTTTCTTGTTCAGTACATTGATTTTGTTTATTTCTTCAGTTAGCTGGGATTCTATTTGTTTAGCTTGTTTTATTTGTTTAGCACTGGCAGTTTTAAGCTCATTTATTTTGTTGATAAACGTAAACTTTAGTAATTCAGTTTCAGTTTTGCTAGGTTTTGAGGTTAGCTAACCTCTAGATCTAGATCTTCAATACATTTACAATAACCAAGATTTTTACCGAAACTAACAAATTTTTTACGATCCGAACAACTAATATGGTATAAACTGTCACACAAAACATAGAAACATCCTGAAAACTTTGGTTTATCTTTACAGCACATAAAAGTTTGTGGAGTAAGCTTTGACAGCTGTTTCACATCACCCTCCATTTTATGGACAATAAAATTTAGTAAAGGGTCGTTTTGAGGGTGGTAAATCCAGTGCTATGCTTAGATTTTGTTTAAAAAAATCGCTAATATGAATTATAAATTTTTAATAATTATTAAAAATTTACTCTTAAAAACTGACATAGTAGACCTTGTATTTTGCACAATAAATAGAGATCTTACAGCGGTGAGTCGCAAACAAATGGGTCCCACTGTAGATCTGTGTTTGTTAGCTGCAAGATGTTTTTACTTTTCGACAGTGGCGTAGCAGATTTAAGGGAAATCTCTTAACAAATAAATAATTATATTATATTATACCTACCTTCAAATAATATTACTAACTAGTGCAATATTTAATTAATATTAAAATAAAAACATGTCGGTGAAATTGCTTGGCACGCCAAGATTTACATATGCGGTACATACAGGGTTGCCAAGTTGGGGGATTTTCTTCCAAATTTGGGGGATTTTTATGAGGACGGGGGAAAATTTTGGAAAACTTTTTTCTGGGGTATTTTTTGGGGGAAGTATATTTATTTTTGGGTGAAAAAGGGGATTTTTTTACTGTAGAAAGAGCATTTTCTCAGGTAAATTTAATTAAAAATAAGTTAATAAATCGATTGTTAATACAAAGCACAGATGCTATATTGCGAGTGCGATTCTATCTTATGAGCATTGGTTGTTTTAATTTTAAGCCAACTAAAGAAATGTTGGAAAAATTTAACATAAACATGTACCATACTTATCCAGACGACGATATCGCTTCGGCATTGGATCTGCTTGAAGAAGTTGATAATTGATATCTTACTTTTTGTACAAAGGAACGTTCCTTTTTTGTAATTAAAATTTTTTTAAATAAAAAACTGTATAAGTAAATAAGTTTTATTTAAAAATATTTAACCTACTTTAAAATAAACAAGATTTCAAAAATAATATAATTTTTTCACCTTATACCAGAATTCTTTCGCTAATTACTAATTAAAATTGGTATATTTATATTTGAATCATGACTCATCTTGTTCAGTGAAAGTACGCACGTGTCAGTCAAGAATAAAACTATTTTTATTTGGAAGATTTTAATGGTAAAATAGTGATTTTTGGGGTATACCCTATAAAAATATATTTTTAAAATTCTTTGGGGGAATTTAGGAACAACCACCTGGCAACCCTGGGTACATATTATGTACCACAGAACATAAGAGAATTAAAAGCGCTGTAGTGAAAAGTGGCAACAGGCATTGTTTGATTTTGAAATCTAGCAGGCTTGGAAATCCGAGGTGCTAGTAAGCCATTGGTGGAAATATCCACACGATTTCTGCGGCGCGAATTTTGAATTTTTATTTAAAATATGGAATTATAACCAAAATTGTTAAAATTTTATATTTTTTTGGGTTTTTTAAAGAACCATATAGTTAATATTGTTCTTTAAAAATCAAAAAATATAAAATTTCAATAATTTTCGGTTATTTTCCACTAATTAAGTGGAAAAACACACATTTTTGTTTTTTTTATAAATATATTAAACAAAATATACACTTAATTCAATTTTAAATTAAATTATAACCAACAAATAATATTTAAATGAGGAGAAATTCAAAGTTAATTATTCTATAACTTTTAGTGAAATTTAAAAAAAGGTTTATCAAACATGTATAATAATTTATAATTATTTGGGTATAATTTATCAAAAAGTATGACATTAATTTGATAATTACCCTCTTATATATGCCTACAAGACAATTATCGCTTGATTACAGCGATAATTTTCAGAAATTTTAATTTTGTGTCACATAATAACAATTTTTATAGGTTTTTTAAGATTTCTTAATAAAAATGCAAAGGTTTATAAACAAATTAACTCTAAAACATATTACAAACCATTAAAATATTTGATAAATTCTTGATAAACAATAGTTCAATACTTATTGGTCCTTATTAGAAAACAAACCTTTTAAAACAGTTCGAGTATATTATATACCTAATTAAAATTATAACTATAAATTATAATTATTAGTTTAAATTTGAATATGTAATTCATAAAAATAAATAATTTTGTAATACATACTGACTTATTGTATACTAGGGTGGGCCGAAAATCCGCTTTTTTAGAATTTCGTTTAGTAATAGCAAAAATTTTGTTCATTACGTTGTAAAAAAATTTTGTGTAAAAGATTAAAATTTTCGATCAACATCCTAGGCTCGCCCAACGCAATTAAAGATCAAAATGTTCAAAACAATTTGTTCTTAACTTATTTCGATCGGAAATTTTATGCTCTACAAAAAAGGTCCTTACACAAAATAACTTCAGATAGATAGTTTCAGAAATTTGTTCATTATGTTGTAAACAAATTTTGTGTAAAAGATTAAAATTTTCGATCAACATCCTAGGCTCGCCCAACGCAATTAAAGATCAAAATGTTCAAAACAATTTGTTCTTAACTTATTTCGATCGGAAATTTTATGCTCTTCAAAAAAGGTCATTACACAAAATTACTTCAGATGGATAGTTTCAGAAATAAACCCGATTTTAGTATCAAAATTTTTTTGAACATTTTGATCTTTAATTGCGTTGGGCGAGCCTAGGATGTTGATCGAAAATTTTAATCTTTTACAGAAATTTTTTTTACAACATAATGAACAAAATTTTTGCTATTACTAAACGAAATTCTAAAAAAGCGGATTTTCGGCCCACCCTATTGTATACCTATAGGTATTTTCAGATTTCTTAATGTAGTATTAAATTTCTTTATTGGAATAAACCAAAAGGCTAATGCCTAAAATGTTTAATGCAATAATTAGACTTATTACAAACCATACTCTTATAATTTTTAGGAATTATGATTATAATTTGTTTTTAAAATAAGCACAATACTGTAGTTTTGTAAAATATAGAATTTTTGGCAAAAAGGAATTCCTACTTATCCAAAAATTAAATTACATTCTTTGGAATATTTAATTTTTAGTAAAATAGGTTTAATTTAAATTAATAATCAATAGAACCACTTAAATCTCAATGTTAAAAATATTGTAATTATGTATTTGGCAAAATTAAAATCTTTATGTATGATTTAACTTTCTGGTCAATATTAAGTATTAATTGTCTTTTTTCTTGTTCATGATTCATGGATTGAACCTGCGTCTTTTTCTTGATTCAATGAAGAATATTCAACTGCAATTAATATTTTCTATGTTCTTTTGCAAAGAAGTTTGATAAATTCAAGTCATGTCTGCTTGTTCCATTAACACAAACCCAAACCTGAAATCAATATCAATTTTAAAATCAATTTAAATTGTAAAACAATTGATATTACCTAATAATGTTTAAAATTATATAAAAATAATGCATCAATATTTATGCTACTTATTTATGCTAAAGGTAATTGTTTTACCAGCATAAAAATAATTGAATGGTTTATTGTAAAAACAAGCCAAGTAACTAACTAAATATGATTTTGTTTATTTTTTATTTTAAAAATCTTATAAAAACTAATAATGTTGAACTTGTGCTGTTTTAACATGAAAATATCCTTTTTTAATATCATAATGTGTATCTTGCTAAATAAAATATTTCTGTCTCAAAATAATAATTTAAAGCAGAAGTATATGTAATATAAAAATGTCAGATTGCTTGTTTTAACAATAAACAATTTAATTATATTTGGAGTAAATACTAAAAGTGTACTTTCTTTAATGGTCAGGCTTTTACTTTTTTATATTTGGGTTGTAACTATGGATGTGTGAATATTGAATTCAAGAATTATTTGAATAGTTTGAATGGTTCAATTAGAAAATTAAAATTTTCCAATAGTAATTGAAAAAATGGAACATCAGAATTGTAATTTAAAATTTATTATTATCAAAACTATTCAAATAATTCAAACTATTTATGTAGTTTAAATATTTAATTTTAAGTTTGAATTAAATATTACTACATAATTTATTTGGTAAAAATATTCACACACCACCAATTGTAACTTAAAATGTATTCTAAATAAAAAAAAATATATCTACCTATTAAAAAAATTTGGTCAAATATTTCTGTTTGGGATTGACGAGTAAAGCTTTCATTCTTTTTCTTCATGCAGGATAAATCTTGTCTAATTGTTCCATTATCGCAGAAGCTAAAATTAATTAAATTAAAATCAATTTATATTGTATAGCAAATAATAATTAAATTAAAAACTTTAAAAATAATTCTTTAAAAGGTTTGCTTATGAATTGTCTAGTTATTTATGTACATTAAAAATGTCAGACTTTCAGATAGAACAAATGAAGGGGTCAATGCAAGAATTCTTGCACTTAAGTGCCTAAGTCACATTTTCAATTAAATTTACAATGTGGCTTCATCTAAGGGTGTTTCACATAAGGTTTCAGGTGGTATTTTCAAAGTGGCAGAAATATGTGCCCAAGTGCTTTAGTTTGCATTTACTTCAATGGGAGTTTGCCTGGTTTTCAACTTATGTGAAAACTCTTCGATGAAGCCAGAATAACAATTTAATTGAAAATGTGACTTACGACACTTCTTGCATTGACCCCTTCAAATAAAATAACTATAAAAATACTGTAAAAAAATATCACCCTGTAGTTTAAAATGCTATATTTATGTAAAAAAAAACATGGAAAGCACAAAACATTTGTAATATAATCAAGTTTTGAACTGTATGCTTACAAGTGTTTAATATTACCTCTTCCAGCTGCAAACATCTTGTAGATACTCAGCAGTTCCAATTTGTGTATTCAGCTTTTACAAATCTTGGGGCTCATAAACGTTATCTTTTATAAAGCCCCAGAGAAAGAAGTCGCACACTGTGAGATCGGTTGAATGTGTTGACCATACATGAAGTGCCAAATTGTTGGGCCCTTTACGTCCGATCCACCGATGAGGGGGCTGTTCGTTCAATAACCTCCGCTCCACCAAATGCCAATGTAGTGGGGCCCTGGACCCAGGTCCAGTTTTCGCGTAGCTACATCAAATAATTTTAACAAAAACATACATTTTGACAAAGATTATAGGTATATTTAACATTTTGTATAACAGCAACTATAGTTGCACTATAGTGTCGAGAAAAAAAACGTTAAAAACTGTTTTGATTGAAAGTTTTGAATCAAAACGCTTTAAAACTATTTAAATTCTATCAAAACTTGCATTAGTTAAACAACCCATAAGCAAAGAGTCTTTACTCTTTGCCATAGGTTTCATTACATAAAAAGAATTTTATTTGTTTTATCGTAACTTTTACATGTGTTTTCGGTAAACATAGAGAAAAAAAACCGGTACTGTTTATCACACGTATTTTCTTATTTTAAACGTGGTAATGATGCTACAAATAACTCAAACATGACTAAAAACACCTAATAAAATGTTAAAGCCGAAATTAACAAGTTTACTTACCTAAAACAAAGAAAATTTGGATTATAAAACTTCGTACACAACACTTCAACAACACTGTCGGCCATTTGTAATTTCTCAAACCGCGAACATCAACGAACAAGTTGGAAAAGACCAATCACAACAAAGTAAGAATCACGTGGTTAATAACTGGGGTCTGTCAAAAACAACTTGGGTTTCAACGCATGCTAGATTTATTTTACTGTTGCCTGTTGTCAAATGCCCCTTATACCCCCCTGTTATGTACTAACCTATAAAGTGTACTTCTTTATGTCGCACGGTCGGTCGCATAATTTACGCTGTATTTTTCACCACAAACTATGCACTTTTCCACCATTTCACACTCAAAAAAAAAAATGTTGTGACAACTATAATTTTGATATTTTCCACTAAACTTTATGATTAATATATGGATAGCAACCTAGTTTGTTGTGACAACAATTATGTTATAGTTCAAACTAAATTGTTGTGACAACTGTATATAGAGCTGCAAGACTGTATAGTAGAATTAACAAAATAAAATGGGTTTTAAACAATTATTTATATTGTTACAGTAAATAAATTACTCCGGCAGTGAAAACAAAACTTTATGGTAAAATTTTATTTGTATTGTTGAGGTTATTAAATACTTTTAGTAGTTCCAACTGAATAAGTTAGTAAGTATTATTGTTCTCTTTACACATTTTTAGGGTAGGGATTAATAAAAGGAAATAGTGGGCATTACAATAAAAAAGTTGATAAATTTTTACCTAAATTTATTAAATATTTTTAAAAAATAAAACAAAAATCCTTAAATAACATAAAAAACATAAATATCAAAATTAAACACTAATTTAAGTATGTGCAATTGGTCATTAAATTCCTTGCGTTTTATTTATATAATATTGGCCATCACAAAGTATGTAAAGGTGGTATTTATTGCAATTGGGTAAATTATCGAATTTTATTATAGTTTTTTTCTCCAACTTTGTTACATAAAATGCGTGAAAATGGTCATGTATACCCAAAGTTATAAATTCTGCATAGATTACAAAAACTTCTCTTTGTACAAATATAATATCCAAAATTTCGCCAAAAACGGGTAGTTCTTTTATATCAGTGACGATGATATCGTGCATCTTAAATCTCACACCTAACTTTTTAACCCATTTAATTGATTCAATATAATCAAAATCACCATTAATAAACGTCATGTATTTATAATCAGTCGGACATATAAAATCTACTGGACCAAATTTGATTGTTTCATCGAAACCGGTATGACACAGAAGTTTGTAACATAATTGTAACTGATTTTTTATACCTAAAGTTAAACAAATATTTTTTTTAGAGCAGCTAATATTGGCAGTGGTTTTTAACGGTCTGTGCTTAGATTCAAACCTCATGGACCAGATATGTACCAAAGGTCCAACCATTTTCATAATGTGAGGGTAATGGACCATATTATGATGTTTAGGCTTAAGGGTTTGTTTTAGTTTAATAGAATAAATGAAATGATGTTCAAAAATAAGTGATGCTAAGAGCTGTTCGTAATCAGGTTGAATACACTTATCTAAAATTATTTCTAATATTTTTCGCAATGTCAAATATAACTGCCAATATGTATTGTTTTCTGGTATCCAGGGTCCAATCATTAAATTCAGTAATGAAATAAAGGTAAGCATTTCAGATGCTGACATTTTAATGCTTTTTTTTTTTAAATCGTCCTCGCGTATTTTAGGTGGAATGTTTGTTTCTGACCCATAATCAAAAGATTCAATTTTCGAATTTAATGCATTTAATGTAAAAATTTTTAAGTCGTAAATAAAATAATTAAGAATAAGAGCAGTATCAAATATACATACCCCCTCCAAAATATCGTGCATTATGTCTACACAAAAATTTTCAGTAACATGAAAACTTGAGACTGTATTCCAAATAGAATTTTCTTTAATACCTGTCAGGCATGGGTCATTTAAGGTCAGTTGGTTTTGATAATTTATTCTGTTTCGAAGCTTATTCTTGTCTTTTTGACACTGAACTTTGGATTCAGATTTTGGAATCATACAAAGACGACAAAAATAATTAGCACTGAAACTTTCGACAAATCCAAACATAGAATTTAAACCAAGATTATCGCCTAGACACAAACCTAAAGAAAAATATATTGTTTTGACTTCAGAACCACACTTTATGTTTATTCCAACATTGTGCAAATTATTAAGCTCTTCAATAACAGTTTTAAATATCGAATTACCAAATTGTTTTCTATCCGTGGACATAAACAACTGAGTTAACAGAATGTATTCTGTTAGAGATTGAAACTCTGGTGGAAAGCAAGGAATAGATGCATAAACACCTCCTAATTTATTTGTTCCCGAGTGAGACCCGAGCACATTTCCGGTTTCAAAATCGTCAAAATATATGAACAAAGGAAACACAATTTTATCTTTAAATAATTTAAGTTTTGACTGCCACAATTCGCATTGAATGAAGTTTTGTTTAATTGGGCTATTTATAAGGTTTTTTGAATATTCGATAGTTTTATTAAAAACGTTAGGTAATTCAAATATTTTTTTTAAGTTTTCTCTTAGAGGAATTAAAATTCCCTTTGAAGATTTATTGTCTACAATTGAACTACAATCTTTTGTTCTTTTTCGAGTATTTAGTCCAATAATAAATTCTTGTGGTTTAATGAAATGGCCAGATTCCTGAAAATATTTAAATCTTTTGTATTCCGAAGATAAATCTGTAAAAGGATTTTGAAGAACATGAAAATAAGACTGAATAGATATCACTATATTTTCGTTACATTTAAATGTGTTTAATAGTTTAACAATTAGATTCTCTAGATCTTTCACAAATTCATGATTAAACAATTTTATAGTAAGAGAAACAATATGTTGAACTTCTGCACGAGGAATAGCATTATTAGTATATAGACACGAAACAAATTGTAAAACATTTTTATGAAAACTTTCAGAATCTATAAGTATTTTGCCATTGGATAAACCATTCAAATTATTTTCAATATTTTCTTTGGAATTGGAATTTGAAAGTAAAAATGTATCGTCCAAGCTTTCGTTGTTTTGGTATGTTGAGTGTTCTAATGGCAACGTTTGTAAATTATTTATTGTGTTCAAAGTGAGATTTGAATGCTTTTCTTTAACATGCTTTCTGAAAGAATTAATAGAGCTCATAGTTCTAGTACAATTAATTTCACAGCATGTTATAGGACCATCTTCAAAAGAATGATAATATTTAAAATGCAATATAAGCACCTTTACTGATGGAAACGACTAATTGCACATAAAACATAACATTTCAAAAAATAAGTAGGTAATACAAATATATTTAAGAAAGAAAAAAAGTCTATATCTCATTTAGCTCAGTAAGAAACGTGTTAACAGAAATGTAGTTTTTATCATGATCTGCATCTTTTATTTCATAAATATATTCTTGAATTAATTGCCAAATATGTTTACTTGGTGAAGGATATTCAGCATGCAAAACATGATACATTTTAAAGCAAACATCTACACATTTTATAACACTTTCTACTTTAAACAAAAAGGTATCAACTGATATCATGCACTGCAAATTATTAAAATTACCGATCACGATAGGCAAGGGTTGAAAAGTGTCACATTTATTCAAAAATTTATTTCTTTGTCGTTCTAAAGTTGCATCCAACTCATCAACCGTGGAAACATGTAGTAAGAATGTTTCTTGACACTCACTTTTCGAAGGTCGCCATTTAATCTTTTTTGTTGATACTACGCTGGTTTGGAGAAGATATGGTAGAATTAAAAAAGCAATTGCAATTCTTGTATCTGAAATTTGTAGTTTTGTTAGTGCCAAATAATATTATACAGTGTATTTTTACCTTCCAAATCATTGTCTACCAAATGAGTCATAAATTTAATAACGTTTGGGTCTTTTGACTTTTTTGCTAGTTCAAATATTTTACTTGAAAAGTCATTAACTTTTGAATACAAGTTGTATTCCTGTTGCAAAAAACGTTCTTTAAAATCTATTTCAAACTAAAAAATATATATTTACAAATATTTAAAAATTATTGTTAAAATTATGCTTACCAATGTATATCCAAGAGGTCTTGTAAGAGCAGGAAACGTTTTTAAATAATTAAAAATACTGGATTCACTATCAGTATAGGCTTTTAATCTCCTTTTTGATGTTTTTTGCCAATGTTCCACCACAGTTGGCCAGGGCTCATAATTGTTTTTCAGCCATAGAATTAGATCATCAATATTTTGAACGTCTTGGGTATTTTCTTCGAGAATTTGCTCAAAACCCTCTTCTAAAAATAAGAGTATATTTTATTATTACAGCAATGCAGAATATCAAAATTTGTACGTTTTTTACTTGGATTACGACCTAGTAGAATCCCTGATGTCCTTAAGCATCTTCTAACGTTATGGTATTTATCAAACAATTTACCCTTTGCACAACGTTTGTACTTTCCCTCAACGTTTTCATATGGAGTATAATAAGTAGCCAGTGATTCTTTTGGAAATGTTTGTTTAATATGGCGTGCTAACTGAATAAATCGTGAGGTAGGAATTCTAAAAAAATTCAGTTTTTATTTTTAAACAAAAATTAAATTTCAAATATGACCTACCTTTTATCCGAGTGAACTCTAAGCTCTTCGTTAATAATTATTGAAACAAGATTATTGCGCAAAACTGGTGTTAGGTTATCAGCCCGTAATATTTGTTGCCCCGTTACACTTTTATTTAGTAATTTTTTTAGGTCCTAAAATATAACCATCGATTTTACATTTCATCAGTTTAAACTAGTACTACTTACAAATTCGTAGGTCAAAGGTTCTGTTTCGTTTGAAAAGTCACCAATAAAAGCATTTTGTCTTTTATAAGGCACAGGTATTTCTTCTAAAATTATTTTAGATTTATTTAAAGAAATAATTTTATAATAATGTCATAATTACTTAGCACTCTGTCTTCTAAAAAATCCCTTGTTTCGCTGAGTAAGGAGGCAGAACTCGAACAATTGGAACTTAACTCGCCTAACGACTTAGTATCAGCTTGAGACAATGCTGGTGATGAGATGATATCAATGTCACAGTTGCTAGGGATATCAGCTTGAGACAATGCTGGTGATGAGATGATATCAATGTCACAGTTGCTAGGGATTTCTTCTAGGTTAAATATAAATTGGGTTGATTCATTTATTGTTTTTAAATTTTTGAAATGGGCTAAAAACTTTTATCTGTCTCCAATTTTTTTTATAAGTTCCTTTATTAAATCCTCCGTTAAATTAATAAAAGCCTCATAATCTATTCCTTGCTCTAAAATAAATAAATGTATGTACGGATACTACTTTCACTGAGTGTATCGAACAAAATATATATTACAAATATAAATAAAAAACATATACCTTTACAGGGTAAACCACGTAAGCTGACCCATATATACTAGGGTGGTCGTTAAAAATTAAATTTTTTGTGACGCCCCCTAAAAAGTTTCTTTTTGATGAAAAAACACTGGGAATTTTTTTTTCAATTAAAAACAACACGTGCCTCAAGACGATCTAAGTTAATTTTTTGGTATAATCATGTCTTTTCTGAAAATATCTGATTAAATAATATTATGGAATAATAATTTTTTTGAGATTTAAAAATTATTAACAATAAAATAACTTCACCTTAGAGTGAAAAAATCTAGATAATAAAATTACGTTTGTACTAATTTAGTTTTAAAATAAAAATATCAAATTGAATATCTTTCATTTTTTTATTTAATAGACCAAATCAACTGGGAAAAATTTTGAATTTAAGTTTTTGTCCATTATTATTTCGATTAACTATTGTTTTTTACTGATTTGGGTTCTATAATTGTTTATATTTTAAATAAAATTGAATTTTTCATGAAAAATTCCCAAAAAACATGATTATACCTTAACTTGGATCGTCTTGAGGCACGTGTTGTTTTTAATTAAAAAAACACAATGTTTTTTCATCAAAAAGAAGCTTTTTAGGGGGCGTAGCAAAAAATTTAATTTTTAACGACCACCCTAATATATACTTATCTCAGAAACTACTGGAGTTTCAAAAATTTGTAAAATAAAACCTGTAAAAAAACGATTGTATATTATATGTTTATTTATACATGGTTTTTGGTTTTCCCAACTTTCTCATTTTTAATTTACCACCCTGTATTTTTTTGCACTTTTGAAAAAATAAACCATATAAAATTATACATATTTATATTGTTTGGCAACAGTTGCCATGAAATTTGCCACCTACTATGAAATTTAAAACCATCCACACAACCATTTCACATTTTGGTAATATCTCAGTAAATATTGATTTTACCTATAGGGTATGCGTAATGTTTTTATTGAAAAAAATCTAAAGAATATACTCTTTAAAAATGAATTAGTCAAAAATGACTAATTTAATAGTTGAGGAGTGATTTTTCAAAAGGCCTTATTTCCATTTTTACTTTAATGTAATTTTTTGACAAAATCCCAAAGGCATATATTAACGACGAAATATGACAGCAGGTCTGAAGTATTATTAAATATTCATCAGATTTTTTTTAAATATTCTATATTGCCCTATAGGTTATAACCTATACAGGTTATAGTCATTTTTTTGAAAAATTGTTGCAAATATAAATACGACCTTTTGAAAAATCACTCCTCAGTTATTAGTGGCTGCTTTTTCACTTGTACCATGGTTAACTATGAAATAACATTGTATCCCAAAATTTACCATCCAATTCTTATGTAAAATTGTCCCCTGAATCCGAAAATACCGTAGAACAGTTTTTGAGATATAGTCAATTTTTCATTTAATATGTAATTGACTATATCTCAAAAACTGCTCTACTTTCATAATTTTTGACAGTATTTTCGGATTCGGGGGACAATTTTATATAAGAATTGGATGTTAAATTTTGAGATACCCTGGTATTCCATGGTTAACCATGGTACAAGTGAAAAAACAGCCACTAATAACTATTAAATTATTCATTTTTGACTAATTCATTTTTAGAGAGTACCCACATGATTATTACAGTAAAACAATAAAGTTATTATAGATATATTAATATGAATATATAAATGAGGTTTAATTTAGAATATAAATAAAAATATTTTGTAAAACAAAATTTGGACATGTGGAACATAAGAACACTTAATATTTGATGAATTTTTGTGACTGCAGTAGTTTCGGAAATAAATAATAATATGTTATATGGTTCACCCTGTACATTTAAAATTAAATTTAAATACTTAATTGAACCAAAACGCAGACCTAATTTATTTACTATTTATTACATATTGCATGAACGCTTACCTTTAAAAGTTTCCCATAAATGGGATAATCCCCATTTATCTAAATATTCTTTAACATTATCCATTAGGTACGGGATCACTATACTTACTTTTCCAACACAAAACCTTATTCTTTAACAAAATCGAAAACCATACGCTCACACGACAAAACAACCACTAATAATGGAGATGCTGTTAAAATGAATAGACGAAAATGCGTGGCGATCAGGTCACGCCAGTGTTGCCAGACGTCAAACGGAGAATTATCGTCTTAACCTCTTAAAATTATCGTACGTTATCGTACAAAACATAAACGATAATATTTAATATAATTTTGAAATTTTTTATATTTGTAAGGTACAGAAAAAATATTATGGAATTTATTAGCTTTATAATAAACAAAATCATGCCAATAATTTACTCTTATAATAAAATGATAAAAACTATGAAAACAAAAAACGCTCATATTTCTTCAAAAACGATGTCGTGATCAGATTGCCTTCCATTTTTGTTTTCTTCTAGAATAGCAGTGTGATTTTGAGTGGTCTGGTAGAGTTTGGCAGACGTCATGTTTCTTAACATTTTATCGGTGGGTTTAAAGTTAGAACAGCCTTGTTCTAGATGGACTTGCAGAGAAGACAACATAATATGTCCATTTAGCGTGTCTGTTATTATTCTATTTCTTGATTTAATTTATATTAAATTAACTTTTGAAAATTGTCTTTCACAAGTGGCACTTGAATGTGGCAGCGAAAGAACACATAAAACAAAATTGCACAAATTCGGGAATATAAATTCACCACTAAGTATAGTCTTTTACTGGACTTAATTTATAATAAAACTTAACAAGAAAAATCAAAAATATCGTTAGTTGTTTGAA